AAAATTTTTAGTAAAAGAATTAAGTTTACTCAACTAAAAAATACCATTATCCAAATTTCAATGAAATAAAACCAAATTCAAATAATCTAACCCCTTCATCTTTATCCATTACATCTAACTGTGCAAAATTCATTTTCAGTAATAACAAACTAAAAAGCCACTGCTTGATATCCATTATCCATTAAAATCATTATTACTTTACAATAATTCTCTTTTAAAATATTTCTTAAATGCGAAAATTTTGCATTAAATAATATTATAATTTCGAATTGCTTCTTTATTATTATCATTTTTTTAATTACATTTTTCAATTTTAAAGAGAGAGAGAGAGAGTAAATCTCGGGTTTTTTTCATGATGTTGCAATTTAGAATGTGGCTTTTATGCTAAAGGCATGAAAGCTATTATCACCATTTTCCAAGAAATTGGCTATTTATAGAAATGCCTTAGAAGAAACCTTTTGGTCAAATTTCCATTTGATAATTTGAAATCGTAATAAAAGATTAAGAACTTTATTAAAATAAAAAGAGAATATTTATGCTTAGTGAAATAAAATTTAGTTCTACCTTGAGCAACTCTTTCTGATTCTTTCACCTTTGCATTTGTTAAAGTGATAATCGCAATGGTACCATCACTGTTAGCTACCTATATCAATAATAATTTCAATTTTATGTCATATGACTGGTTGGAATTTTAAGAATAAGCTTATCATCATTCGTCCCTTCCCTTTATCTTATCATTTTCCTTCTATCACTTAATCATTGCTAAAGAGATTTTGTTCAAATGGATTTACTTCTTTTGGTTTTATTTTTACCATTGGACTGAAAAACTGTTAATGTGAAAAACCAAAAGTTTATTCGGTGAAATGTCGAAAGTTCATTTAGACGAATTAACTATGTTCACTTAAACCTGACAATGATAAGATGATAAAACTTCTCATTGATAGCTGGAAAAGATTAATATATGAATTCATTGTGAATTGATTTGTGATTGGTAGATTGTTTCAGGTTTTTTATTATGCCTGAATAGCCTTCCTGGATCATTTTCCGGTAGTTGCAAATTACAATCCTTCAATTAATTGTTTATCTAATTTCAACTTCCATGTTTGTTTGTTTGTTTTGTGTAATAGTAATAGCAATAAAATACTTTTAATTGCAATTAGTGCAAGTAAATGATTACTTAACAGAGAGAGAGAGAGAAAAAAAAAGCAATGCCCATAAAAATCTGGGCAATACAGGTGTAATTTGTGATACTTTCACAAATATTAAGGATTATGTTGACATTAATAAATGACCATATACTGATAATATAATGAATGATAAAAACTAATAGTATTACCACAAGATATTGTTAATTGATAAAGTATTTCGAAAGTTAAGGGAAAAAGGATTGAAAAAATCGTTCTACAGCTAATTTTTTAATACACTGAACTTTTTCGTTTTATCCAAATTAATTATTAAAGAATTGATGAGAAGATAGGAATTATGGCAATATTACATTGCTTTAATTAATTCGACAACGATTTCTCATAATTTCACACTTTTTGCACTGGACGAAATTTCAGAGAAATGACGACAATAACTGCAGCAATGAGTGCAATACTCAAACCCATAAACATTGAGAAGCCGAATGGTGACATGCAAATTCCGTTTTGTAGCGCAGCAAGTACCATTGGTTGTCCGCCAAGATGCAAACGTGCACGATGACGCAAATCAACTGGTAGAGCTTGATTCTGAAATTTTGTTTAAATTAAAAGTATATAAAGTTGAAAAAACGGATTGGAGGGAGTAAGAGAGAGACTAGCATATATCGAAATTTCCTCCATTTAAACATAGAGTTATTGACTGATTGATTCCTATGAAAAAAATCTGGAGAAAAAATCATAAAAAAAGTGAATAAACAAAAAGGCATACATCTTCGCTAATTTCAAGAGCGCTGATATCAGTCCGCACATCAACGACATTCTCCGGTTCCGCAGACCTTTTCTTGAGCAGACGGAGTTGAGCAGCTGCTGCAGGTTTAACTGCGGCACCACCTGTTTTAACAGCTCCGAATCCTTGCGGTTCTGAACATTGCGGTCGAGCACATTCGCTGTTTGGTTCTTTAATGGTGATACTGATCTGGCATTGATAGAAAAGTTGTGATCGATCAGCATATTTGTATACGTGCGCTTCTTGGCCAGCCATAAGGTCTAGGAATTCCAGATAATTAATGAAGATAATTTTAATTCTATATCGTTCTAGAAAAAACATTCTTTTTAGCTGACCTGAAAAGGATCATTCCCAATCTACGTTTTAAAGAGAAATGTAATTGCTAATGGTTAGATTTCTTTATTTGCTCATTGCCTAATATTTTCTTGACAAGTATCACTTACCTGTTGGATATTCCAAATTGTTCAATAAGTATTTGTCCAAAGCACAACCATCCGCATTCAGAATTTCCACTGTATCACCATTGCCATCATCCACAAAGCAAGAGTGGACAACTGCGCAAAACGTATCAACGGTTTCAGAATCGCAGGTCCATTTGTGATAAACTGGTTGACCAATGGTAGCAAACTGAATTGGTTGCCCAGTTGGACCACCATCCAAGATCTGAAACATCTGTCTCCATCTACTCTTTTTTTTAGGTAATACATCAAATTTTAATTTTCTTATAAAAAAATGAGATATGCAAATTGATTCTTTGATATTTGGATTTGAATTATAAGAATTAAAAACAAATTTTAAAGGAAGAGGCATGCCTCGTATCGACAAACAGGCATTGGGACGATTTGAGTTTGAAAAGCAGTTGTGATTTCGGACACCTCAATTTGGGTGCTGACCGTTTTGTCAGCTTCCATGTAAAAGCATTGTACTCGATATGCACGATCAACTTTTGTGACAAACAGTGGATGGAAAGAGATGACAACAGTGGTCGTTACAAAGATACCTGTAGAAAAACTTTTATAATATAAAAATCCTGGAAAATTTAAAAAGATCAAAATAATTTATGCAAGAAAAAAAGCTAAACAAACTAGTTTTCTTTTTTTTTAATCTTCTATAAATATGCTTTGATTTGTTGATAAATTTTGAAAATTTTTTTCCATTAAATTTACAAAAAAAATGAGGTGATTAAAAGATATCATACCTCGTGGATTGAGTGATCGTGTACGTGCAACATTACATGAATCAAAAGGAAGTGAAATTCCGGCTACCTGACGTCCACCCTCATCATTACGACAACCTTCTTGATCATAAAGACCTTTTACATAGACGTGTCCCTCAAATGCATTACGTGTATTGAAATTGATAGTTATTGATGTTGGACCACATTCAATTTCCGGTTCACCTATAAATGAATGTAAATCATATGTTGGATTAGACTTGAATAAAAATACTTCGAAAATAATAACACAAGAACTTAATTTTATCACTGATAAACTATTTTTCATTCCTTTATCAATGATAAAAAGAGTGACGAAGATTTATGTGAATTTATGACAAAGGAAATGATTTTTTTTCATATATAAAAATCTGATAAAAAAAACACTAAAGTTAATACCAATATTAACTACACTATTATAATTATCATAGAAAGAAATTAATACGCTCTCAAATAATTTTATAAAACTGAAGAAAATTAAATTTTTTCAAAAACTAAATATACTTGTAAAGTATTTTGTCAAAACTTTAAAAAAAAATCACACAATACATATCTATGAAAGATTTTTTTTGCATATAAAAAGAAGTACGATACCTTCAACACCGTTATCAACAGGGATTGAATATGACAGCGCAATAAGCGTAACACAGAAAACGATAATACGAAACATTATCTTAACGGATTAAGTAAGATTCTGATTTTGGCAATTAAGATTTGCTTGTCGTTCCTCCACCTAACTGCTGTTGTTGTTGTTGTTGTTGTTGTGTTGCTACTACCGGTGTTGTTGACACCTACACCCTATTTCAATGAAAATAACTGCCTTTTATATAATTTTGGAAAACAGGGTATCCTATATGTCTGTTTTGCTTCTAACGGTGACATTTGACATTTTGATTTGTCCTGCCCCCATGCCCTCTAACCTCTAGTATCATTTCTCATTCTTCATCCCTTTAACCGTTATCACTATGATGACCTCCTCTTAAAAAACACCACATCCATCCATTTCTTTTACATTTTCAAACAAAAAAAAAAAAAAAAAAAGAAATTTAAGTGAAAAAATAACAAGACAAAAAAGAAAAATGGTTTGAATAGATGAAGGATATATTTTCGAACAAGAAATAACACAAACCAGTACTGATTCGGGTCAAATATTTTCGGTTTTTCATCAGTACGCTCAAAAACTTTCACGAGTAGAAAGATCGGTCTTATTGTCACCATTGCTATTATTTATATCACATTGTCATGATCATTTCGCTATCACATTCATCACTTATAATGTCACTATTGGTTATTAGGAAATTCACTTATCATCATCATCATTATCATCATTAAGCGTTCATTTAATCAAACATTAAACATACTCTGCTAATGGAAACTTTAAAATCATGAAAAAAAAGGTAAAACAAATCACTCTAAGATACACAATAAGAAGCATAGCTGAATTAATTAACAAATGGACTATAATTATTCCAATAATTACTATCATACTCTTTGCAAAGATACTTACAATTATTCGATCATAATCAGTAGCTATCACTTGTTATCGTTATATAATTTTAGTCTCATCATATTTATTTCATTTTTTGTATGGCTTGTAAATGTCATTATTATTATTATTATTATTATTATTATTATTATTATTATTATTATTATTATTATTATTATTATTATTATTATTATTATTGTTATTATT